CGCGCGCCTCCATCACCATGGGGGCGAATGCGACGCTGGCCGCGGCAATGGGCCGAACCGCGCCGCCTGGCTTCCACGGCGGCGGCGCGAGTTTTGCCGGTGCCAGGGCCGCAGCGGAGTCCTCGGGGACATGCCCCTCTGCCACCCTGTCGCAGACTCTGCGGGAGGCGCCCAACGCGGTCGGATCAGCGAGCACGGCCATGCTCGAACTGCCCGCCGCCGCCGGCTACCCCGCTGCCCTCCGCACCATTTCGTCTGCGAGGGAACGCGGGCGCCCCTGGCGGCCCCGCCTGCCAGCTGGCGAGCCCGGGCCAAGCTCTGGGCCGCGCCTTTAGCCGTCGCAAGGAGCTCACACCAGCCGCCTCGGAGCAGCGAGGACCAGCGCTCGCGCGCGAGATGCGCGCGGCCCAACGTTTCCGCCGCCGCGCGCTGCCAGCCGTTCGCGCTGAGCCGAAAAGGGGGCGGCGATGAGCAAGCGCCCTCACGGCTCGAGGAGCTCCCAGGCCAGCTCCTCCTCCACGCCCGCGGCCGGGGCAGACAGGACCGCGTTGCAGAGTTCCTCGGTAGCTTGCGCGGCCGCTGCTCGGGCGCGCCCGGGGGCGACCCGCAGCACGGGGCAGTCAAGCGCGAACTCCTTCAGGAGATCGAGGTCATCGAACCCCGTCCAGCAGGCGGCCCACAGGCTCCGAAGGCGAGAGAGGCGGCAGGGCGAGCCGCCGGCGCCTCCCGCCGAGAGCTCTGTAGGCGCCAGGCCGCAGCAAGGGCCCTGGCGTCGCCCTCGGCCTCTTCTAGCTCCTTCATGAGCTCCTCCTCGCCCCTGTATTCGTCCTCCTGCTCGGCGCTGTCGCGCCGCCCTCCCAGCAGGGTTCGCCCGGCTCCTCCGCGCGCTCGGAGCTCCTCCAGGCAGCGCCTGGCTCCACTGGCACATCGACCCTGAGGGCGGCAGGACCCGGCAGGGCCGCTGCAAGGGCCGCGCGCGCGGCGGCCCTTGCCGCGAGCACGGACTCTGGCATGCCCCCGCCGCTCGCGGAACTCTCAAAGACCAGCGCCTCCAAGAGTTCCCGCGTGGCCTGTGCGAGCGGGGGAGTCCGCCGCCGCGGAGGCCGCCTGCGCCTTCTCCTGCGCGCGGACGGCGGCCGAGGCGGCTTCCCCCCTTCGCACGGGCGTCCTCCAGGTGCCCCTGCGCTGCCGCCAGCGCTGCTTCGGCCGCGGCCGTCGCGGCACCCGCCTGGGTCTCCGCTGCTCGCTGGTCGTCAACGCGGCCCGAGCTGCGCCGCTCGACCTTCTGCTACCGAGCGGCCTTCTACTCGGCCAGACGCGGCTCGACGGCACGCGGCCGCGGCAGCCTGCCGAAGTGCGCCCGCCTGGGTTCCTGGGCGCGGGGCCGCCTCGCCTCAGAGCGCCCAGGCCTCGCGCGCGCGGCGCGGGGCCTCCCGCGGCGGTCCCCGCGGGCTGGCAGCCAGCCCGCGGCGCCGCGCAGCGGCGGCACGCCTCCCGACCCATGAAGTTCGTCACGCCGCGCGCACACGCCCATTCATGCTTGCGCGAACGCGGCCGCCGGCGCCCGCCCCCGCCACGCAACAAGCTCGCGAGGAGCTCCTGCGCGAGCACCTGGCCAGGGCGGCCGGCGCCGCGTTTGCGGCCGCAGCGCCAGACGAGGGCCCATGCCATGGCGCACCAAGGTGCGGGGGGGGGAGGCACAGGGGTGGGAGAGGGGGGCGGCGAGCGAGGGGGGGGGGGTCTTGGGCACTAGCTGCGCGCGCCAGCCTGGGCAGCCGGCCCAGGCAGCCAGCCGCCCTTGAGCTCCTTGAGTTCCCCCATACAACCCCTACTAGTTCAGTTTTTGCATAATCCTCCTCCTCCTCCTCCTCCCTCCTCCTCCCCTCCTCCTCCTCCTCCTTCCTCCTCCTCCCCTCCCCTCTCCTCCTCCTCTCCTCCCCCCTCCTCCTCCTCCTCCTCCCCTCCTCCTCCTCCTCCTCCTCCCCCTCCTCCTCCTCCTCCTCCTCCTCTTCGGGAGTGGCCGTGGGTTCGCCTGATGTTCATGTTCAACTGATGTTGCCGCTGCGCGTTGGCCGCGCAACCTGAAAGCACACTGCCCTGACCACACCTGCACTTTGGTCGGGTGAAAGGACGGGGGTCGAAGAAGAGATTAGAGAGTGCAAAGAGTTGAACAGACAGTAAGCAAAGTCACGGATGGCGAAAGAGGCATGAGAGGGCGAGAGGACGCCGAACCGAGCGAGCGGACGGTGGTCGAGAGGGTGCCTAACCACATCCCTTAGAAGTCTGAAAAATCTGGGACATCTCCAATAGTGCCAGAACCGATCAGAGCAAGCCTGACATCCTAACATGCACGGAACATATTTCTGAAATCTATTGTCCGAAACCCACGCAGCACCAAGAGTTTTGATCACCGCAGCCCGCCAGGAGGGAGGAAAAGAAATAATGGAAGCACGACGTTGAGCCCAGTCGACCAACTCGATTTCTGCTAGGCTTTCAGGACATCCAGATCTGAGTCGGGTTCGCTGCGACATGATCACGAGGAGCTCGCGTTGATTTCCTGCCAGGGATCCTGAAAGATGGAGAGTCTGGAAATCCTTGGGCGGCTTGCTGAAGGCTCTGAGCGAGGGGACGAGAGAGCCAGAAATTCGGGCACCAGCTGCGTCCGCCTTCGCCGTGAGAATACCCCGCCAGGATGCATGGGACCGGGAGCTCCGCCTACGCGGCTTCTTCTAAAACTTCCATACACTCACGCCAGTTGGGAAGGGTTTACAGGCTGTCACGGATCCTCTTCCTCCTCCTCCTCCTCCACCTCCTCCTCCTCCTCCTCTTCCTCCTCCTCCTCCTCCCCCTCCTCCCCCTCCTGCTCCTCCTCCTGTTCCTCCTCCTCTCCTTTTCATGATAACAAAAAATCCTCCCTGTCGCACCCCCCCGCCCGTCGAAAGGTCGGGCCGGGCGCTTCGCAACAGCTTCACGGATGGAGTGCGGGCCGCTTCCAAAATGTGGCTCTCGCCTTAGCGTCGCGCACGTTCGTCTTGAAAGCTTGTACGAGCTGTAAGAGCTTCACGGATGGAGGGCCGGCCGTTGTCTCAGCGCCGCACGCAATCCTCTTCAAACCTTGCAGGGGCTTCACGGATGGAGGGCGGGCCGTTTTCTAAATGTGGCTCTCGCCTTCACGCCGCGCACACTCGTCTTTCTATTTGCAAGAGTTTCACGGGTTGAGGGCGGCTCTTTTTCAAAATGTGATTATCGCCTCAGCCTCGCGCACATTCGTCTTAAACAGTTGCAAGAGTTTCACTGGCTCCCGTGGTTAACGTGTCAGAAACGGTGTTTTGTAACGATTCTGGATGGTCAGGGCTCAACAGTTACGCTGATTCACGGTGTTGAAGTCCCAGAAACGGTGTGCTTCAACGATTCAGGACCGTCAAGACGTAACAATCAAGTTGATTCGTGGCGTTGAAGTCCCGAGAATGGTGTTTTGGTACGCTTCAGGATCTTCAAACAATTGTCTCCTCACGGGGCACTTCCCTCAGTGGAAATGATTGCTTGTAAGGGCCTATACAGAGTGAGCTTGGGGGGGTTATTTCATCATCGTTGATGAACCTTAGGTTTACACTTATTCTCCTCCTCCTCCTCCTCCTCCTCCTCCTCCTCCTCTACCTTCTCCTCCTCCTCTTCCTCCTCCTGTTCGATTGCGCGCGTCTCTTCTCTAAACAGACGTCGCGCGATCTCCCTGCGCGCTGCTTGGCCCTACCTTACCATGTGTTCCGATGCGCAGATGACAGCAGCCGAGGTGCCGCAGATAGCATTCAGGGACTCAGACTCGATCCGCCACCCGAGACTCGGCGAACAGAAAGAGCTGTGCTCCGTGGGAAGGGACGGGCGGGAGGGGTGGGGTGTCAGATGTGGCGCGAGCGGGCCTTGCTTTCCCCACTTCCCCTTCCCTCTCCAGTTTCACCCTAGAACCTGGACGGGGGACGCACTCCCGTCTCGCCACTTGCTGGGGACCTGCTGCAAGTCTGAGTGCTCATTGTTGAAGCCTTGGCACGCCCCCGTTCGAGCGGGGACCCATCCCGACGTCTCACACCAACAGCTCCAGTGGACCTTGAACCTGGGGATTTGCGGGATGCTCTGGATTACAGATCCGTGGATCTGGCGCGAGGGCGAAGGAGCGAGTCGGCATCGTATGGACAAGAGTCCCGTCCCGAATCACCTTGCCTTGATCCATGCTTGCGCCTCCTTCAAAGGGCCAGCTGTCAGCTCGAGATCCTTCCCTTCCTCCTCCGCCCCTCCCCTTCTAGCGGCCCGCCTTCATGATGGGCGTTGCGCCGTCGCCGTGGGCAGCGGCGGATGCTCCAGCGCGCCTCGGCCCGCCCGTCCGCCCACGAGCACCGGCCCGTCGCCTCTCTCTCTATGTCCCTCCTTCTCAGCAGAGCCTGCCCCCAGAAAGAGGCGGCCTCTGGCGGCCGCTTGCGGGCCACAGGATCATCCTGATCAGAATCCCATCTTGATCGTCATCATCATCATCATCATCACCACCACCACCACCATCATCATCATCATCATCATCATCAGCATCAGCATCAGCATCAGCATCAGCATCATCATCATCATCATCATCATCATCATCATCATCATCATCATCATCATCATCATCATCATCATCATCATCATCATCATCATCATCATCATCGTCGTCGTCGTCGTCGTCGTCGTCGTCGTCGGAACTCATCACCCACCATCATCACCATCATCATCAGCACCATCATAAACATCATCATCATCAGCAGCAGCATCATCATCAGCAGCAGCAGCCTCATCAGAACCGCCATCATCATCAGCAGCAGCATCACCTCACGACCACCAACAGTAGCCTCTTCGTCATCCTGATCCTGACCCTCCAGTTCATCATCATCATCATCATCCCTCTCCTCCCACCCCTCCTCCTCCTCCTCCTCATCCTCCTCCCTTGCGTTGAAGCTCGGGCATTCCGTCTTGTCCGTGCGGTGCCCACCCCGTCCCCGCCAGAAGGCCGCGGCCGCAGCCGCAGCCAGCGCCGGGCGCATGGCGGCAGTCGCCGCGGGAGCGGCACGAGGCCCAACTTCGGTTTGCGCGGAGGGCGCGGCTCCGGGGAGGGCCGCCTGGGGACTCGTGCCCTTGCGCGGCGGAACGCAGGAGCGCTGCAGAGGGCCCAAGGAAGAAGGGGGAGGAAAGGGGAGGGGCGGCAGGGGAGGGGAGAGGGGTGGGGGGCGGAGGAAGGACGGTGCAAGGCTTGGAGGGGAGACAGGGAGAAGTGAAGGGGGAGGGGAGGGGGAGAAGGCGAGGGGGGGGAGGGGCGGAGGGGCGGAGAGGGGAAGCCTTCCAGCGAGAGGGTCGTGCAAGGAGTCTGGCATGAGTGCAAGCTGTCATGCTTAATGCTTGTCCCTCTGTAGCCCGCTTCTGTTTTCAGCGTGCGAGCGTATTGGTAGGTGCACGTGTAGTTATTTCGCACATGTTATGTCTGTAAGTGTTTGCTTGTTCCCTACCTAGGCTCTGCCTAGAAGGGTTCTTACCGTGTTGGCATAAAGGGCCGGGCAATGTTCCACGCCCCGGGCGGTTCCCCCAGGATCCGCCCCGCGGTTCCCCCAGTGACGTTCCCTTAGCTTAGCGTTGCTTATCTCATCTTAGCTTAGCGTATTTCATCTTAGCTTAGCTTAGCTTAGCTTCGTCTTAGCTCAGGTTTATCTTAGCTTAGCTTACCTTCGTCTTAGCTTCGCCGAGAATTAGCATAGCAGAGCACAGCATAGCATAACATAGCATAGCATAGCATAGCACAGCACTGCATATCCTAGCATAGCCCAGCATAGCATAGCATAGCGCAGCATAGCATAGCATAGCATAGCATAGCATAGCATAGCATAGCATAGCGCAGCACAGCACAGCACAGCATAGCACAGCGCAGCATAGCAGAGCATAGCATAGCATAGCATAGCATAGCATAGCATAGCATAATTAGCATAGCGCAGCATAGCATGGCATAGCATAGCATAGCATAGCATAGCATAGCAACCAATGCTGCTTTCCTAGGGGCTCCAACTTCTAGGTAGGGTCGCACTGGGGTAATATTTAATGAAGCTTGTTGCCATGTCAGCTTGCAAAGGGCTTCAGGATAATTATCTGTACTGGCGACGCCAACGCGGCCAGGAAGCTGCGGCAAAGGACGACGAAAGACAACCTGGTCTCACCATTCCCCAAAACGTCCTGCAAGCATTAATTCATATAGAGTTGCCTTAATCGAGTGTGGGAATCCAGGCCGTGACTACTTTCGAGTGGTTGGGGATAGAACCACTTGTCTCTGAGGGAAGGAGAGAGGCGGCGGGGCAAAGGGGATGAGGGGGTGAGGGAAGGGAAGACAGTTTTATTTGATCCGCGGGTCGAGAGCGAGCCTCTTCCGGTCGAAGCTAAGCGGGCAGGGAAGGGAAGACAGGGAGAAAGAGAGAGAGAGAGAAACAAAAAAAAAAAAACGAAAGATATAAAGAAAGAAGTAAAGAAAGAAAGAGAGAAAGAAAGACAGCGAGAGAGAGAGAGAGAGAAACATCAAATGTCAAGAGAGACGGGCAGACAAGCAGACAATCGGGCAGACAGACAGACAGACAGACAGACAGATGGACGGGCAGACAGGCAGGCAGACAGACAGGGTACTGAAAAACAAAGAGCCAGAGGGAAAAGGTACAGGGGAAGGAGAAGGGGAAGGGGCACAAGGCGCGCCGGCTCGCCGTGCGGCCGAACGCTCCGAAGAGGGAGCCCAAGGGAGACTCGGGAGGGGAGTGCCGGAGGGGGAGGGGACGGGCGCAGAGGGAGAGGAGGAGGAGGGGCAGTCCGGAAGGACGCTAGGCTCAACATCGGAAGCCGCTTTGAGCACAATCGGACCGAGGAGAGAGAGGAGAGCAGGAAGAAAAGTGGGAGGAGAGCGAGGAGCCGGAACGGGGAAGAGGAGGAGAGCGGAGCGAGAGGGGGCGAGGCATCAGAGGAGGAGCGAGGAGGAGCGAAGAGGAGCAAAAAGCGACAGCTGCTACCTTGAGGTCCGCAGTCGCTTGCAGTGAGCGCCATGTCTGCATTCAATGCGATAGGATTTCAGTGGCCATGAACGTCTCCTGAAATCATCCTGGTGGAGGCGAAACTTTGCTTTTGCCCCTTTTCGCCAACGGAACCGGTCCATTTTACCTCCGCCGGCTTCCGCCGGTTTCCGTAGGCCGTTCGCCAGCTTCCGCCAAGGGGGAGAACCTCACCTCGATCCCTTGGCGAGGAAACCCTTTTCTGGAAACGGCCCATACCGAGAAGATGGCTCCTGAATGCTGTTTGCTACAACGCAACCCTGTGAGGGGGTGAGGACTGGTCCTAATTGATCATGGCGTGAGTAACAATGCGTCGATGGCGATGGCATTCCTGCTCTCTCGTGTACTCGTCCCTGCGTCACGCCCCTCAGGCTCCGCCTAAGAGTACAACGCGCGCCGCAGAAGCTCT